TGCCGCTGAGCTAAATCCCCAGCCCCTTTTTTGTTAGTTTGTTTTTCAATTTTTGAAAATTTTTTTTTTGTATTTCAATTCCTGGTACTAGGAATTGAACTCACAACCTTGTGCTTGCCGGGCAGGGACTTTTGCCACTGAGCCAAATCCCCAGGCCCTCTCAGTGCTTTTTATTTTTAGTACCAGGGATTAAACCCAAGGGTGCTGTACCACTGACCTGCATCTTTTTTTTTGAGATAAAGCCTCACTGAGTCTCTTAAGTTGCCTGGGCTAGGCTTGAACATGTGATCCTCTGTCTCAGCCTCGTGAGTAACAGGGATGACAACCATGCACAACCATACCTGGCTGGTTTTCAGTTCTTTTTGGTATCTGGAATTGAATCCAGGACCTTGCGCCTTCCAAGCAGGCACCACACTACTGAGCTATATCCCTGGCTCCAGTTTTCAGCTCTTAAAAGTTTTGCTTGTGCCTCTGTCACTTCTGATGGTGTTTTTTTCCTCCAGTGCCACAGATTGAACTTAGGGCCTGTGCACGCTAGGCCAGGGCTCTGCCTTGCGCCACATCCTGCAGGTGTTTCAAAAGTACTGACCACAGTAATTGTGACTCCCCCTGCTTCATTGTGCCGGGAGCCGGGTCAGAGATCCACTGGAGACTAGAGGCTGCGTCCTGAGTAGAAGCAGCTGAATACTCATAGCTAAGTGTTGCTGTGTAAACACGTCACCCTCAGGTAGTGCCCTTGCCCTCTAGAACATGCTAGCAGGGTAGGTAATATACATCGTTTTGAAACGATCAGCCGTACCTGTAACTGTGGACCTACTACAGCCTTGTCTAAAAATTTGCACTTCCTGTTAGTCCGTAGGTGTGGCTTTCTGGCTTCTGTATAATGGTTACAAGTATTAGCAGCAGGTCTCTCTCCCTGGAGTTAACAAAATTTACCAGGAAACTGGGCAGAAGGGCAGCATAAAGGTTACAGAAATGAAAACCAGAGCCCTCTAGCAGCCTGCTGTCCCTCTGCCTTTTCCAGTGGAATGCTTTGTGGCTCTCTCGGATTTTCTTTTGTATTTCTTTGGAAAAAACAAACAGCTCATTTCGGGGAAGTTACCAAGACCCTTGGCTACCATTTTATTTACTCTTTGAAGTACATTTAATCAGGGTCTTATCTCCTGGAACTGATTAAGAGAATAACTTGCTTCAAAACAAAGGCATCCTGCTTGTTCTGTCACAATTAGTAAACCTGCTGCTGCCCTTCTTGGTCCTGGATCCTCCCTAGTAAATATTATGAGTAAATGTGGAAAGTTCCCGGAGACTCTGCTTTTGACCTGCTGTGTAATAAATGTTTTTGTACTATGCATAAAACAGTATTTATAAAAATAAGCACTCTTCGGCATGTTGTAAAATTAGAGGTTTGGGAAAGAGACTGCATAGCTAAAGTTATGACCAGTTAGCCTGATAGTTACTACAGTGAATTTTTCCCCCTTGGCTACTGCTTTAGGGCCTTGGTTCTCTATAGATGATTTATAAGTAGGAGTGCATTATTTGCTCAGGTGGCTTTAACACTTACATTTCAAAATAGTAAAGCCAATTAGAATCAAAAATCTTGTTGTATGGAAAAACCTGACCCATATTTTAAATGTACATCATTATTGCAACTATGTAAAACGAAAACTCCAGTGTAAAAATCCTGGTCAGCCAGCTGTGGTGACACACACCTGTATTCCCAGCACCAGGGAGGCTGAAACAGGAGGATCGCTGCAAATTCAAGACCAGCCTAGTGAATTCAAGCCTAGTGAATACACAGTGAGACCCTGTCTCAAATAAACCAAAAAAAAGCTGAATGTGATGATACACACCTGTATTCCCTGCACTTGGGAAGTTGAGGCAGGAGGATCACCCTGAGTTCAAGGCCAGCTTGGGCTACATAGTGAGTTCAAAGCTAGCCTGAACTACATAGTGAGACCTTGTGTCACAACAAAACAAACAAAAAATACTGGTAGGAAACCTATGTCAGTGGACACCATTCTTTTTTCCATGCATCGATATTTTCTCTGTGCTACGACTTACTTTGTGTGTCCTTTCATTACTATCTGTAAGACTAGATTATCTTATCTTTTTTTTGGCGGGGGGAGGTGGAGGGGAGTACTGGGAATTGAACTCAGGGCCTCACCCTTGCCAGGCAGGCGCTGTGCTGCTGAGCTATATCCCTGGGCCTGGTTTGTCATTTTTTAATCAGACCACTCAGATCTAATGATTTCAATGTCCTTAACCCTTTGATTATAGAATGCAGGTGGAATATCTTCTTCACAGTTTGTATGAAATACCTTAAGTATGAATGCCTCTTCAATTCTAGATACTTATCTTAAGGAAATATTTGGAGATAGAGCCAGATATTTGGGCTTATGCATTTTTGTTTTGGGTTTTGCGGGGGGTACTAGGGATTCAACCCAGGGCCTTGGCACTGAACTATAACTCCAGCCATTTTATTATTTTTTAAAAAATTTTGAAGCCGGGCGTGGTGGTGCACGCTTGTATTCCCAGCATTCGGGAGGCTGAGCAGGAGGATCGTTGCGAGTTCGAGACCAGCCTGGGCTACAAAGTGAGCTCAAGGGCAGCCTGAAGTGCAGAGTGAGACCCTGTCTCAAAAAATTAAATAAAAAAAATAAAAAAAAAAAAAAAAAAAAAAAAAAAAAAATAAAAAATAAATAAAAATTTGAGACAGTGTCATGCTAGCAGGCTAAGTTGCCCATACTGGGCTTTAACTTGTAATTTTCCTGCCTTCGCTTCCCAGACTGCTGGAATTATAGACATGTGTTACTGTACCTGACTAGGATCATGTATTTTACTAAAGATGTTATATATAATTGTAAAAATTAAAAATCTAAATATCAATAAATGGTTAAAATATAATAGAATTTAAAGTATTTGAGTAAATTTTCACCAAAACTAATTATGGGGAAATGCTCACAAAATAGTAAAATCTATAAAAGTGTATTCTGTATGATTCTAACAGTGTAAAACATACAGTAAAGAAACCTATGAGCTGGGGATATAGTTCAGTGGCAGGGCACTTGCCTGGTATACATGAGGCCCTAGTAGGCTCTATCTCCCAGTACTAAGAGAGAAAAAAAACCACACACAGGAAAAATAAAAGAGACCCCCAAATGTTATGTATTGGAATTATGGGTAATGATTTTTCCCTATTCTGTATTTGAACTTTTCCATAATGAGAAAATATTTCTTCTACAATTTAAAAATATTTCTGGGGTTATTTATTTATTTATTTATTTGTGGCACTGGGGCTTGAACCGAGGGGCTTGTGCATACTAGACCAGTGTTTCATCACTGAGCCACCTCCCCAGCCCTGGGAAAATGAACTTTAGGTACTGTCAGGGTTTGGTTCAGAGGCTCCTTCATCTTTGAGGCTCACCGTGATCACCTGTGTTGCTCATCCCAGCTCTGGGGCGCTGTACCTTCCTGGACTCTGAGCCCTCAGCCTCGTGTGACAGCCACAGAGTCCCTGCGTGTGTGGACACTACCAACAGGATGGTGCCAAGCATCACCTTCCTCTTCTCTGTTTCTCCCAAGCCCCCTTGAGACTTGTGTTTTTGCAGTGCTCAGGCCTTAGCTGAGGCCTCACACATGCTAAGCATGAGCCTCACCATGGAGCTGCACCTCCAGCTGCTAATAAAGACCCTCGAATACATAAAACCTTTACATGGTAGAGGTATAATCTAAACACTCTGGAGAACATAATCTTGGCCCTTATTCCTTTTTTTTTTGAGACAGGGTCTCCCTGTGCAGTTCAGACTGGCCTTGAGCTCACTTTGTAGCCCAGACTAGTCTTGAACTCACAAGGATCCTCCTCCCTCAGCCTCCCGAGTGCTAGGATTATAGGCAGGCACCACCATGCCCGGCGCTTGGCCCTTATTCACAAAGACCCACAACTCTTTTTTTTTTTGGTACTGGAAATCAAACTCAGGACCTTGTGCTTGCCAGGCAGGTGCTGCGTACAAGCTGAGCTATATCCCCAGCCCCCTCGACTCTTACTGTGGTACAATACACAGAATGTTTCCTATCTTTAATGTGTGGTTTAATAATGTGTACATTCACGTTGTATAACCAATATCCAGAATCTTCCATATGTGCAGCTTTTGAATTGAATCTCATTTTGGAAGTCACAGGGCAGCTATGGAGTATGGCTTGGTGGCAGAGTGCTTGCCTAACACGTGCAGGGCCCTGGGTCCTATTCCCAGCACTGGAACACAGAGTGAGGTCTAGAGGAGGTACCCTGTGAAAGTATGCCTTCAACAAGTTAAAAAAAAAAAAAAGGGGGAGGGGGATTAAGGAAGAGGCAGTTTTTGGAGAAATAGTTCACCATCCCAGCTATCTATGCCCATTCTGAGTTAGGTGAAAACCCGCTCTGTATGTGAAGGTGCCCGTGTGTGCTTCTGAGCCAGTATTGTGATCATCAAGCTTCTGTCCACAGCCAGGATGGGAGGGGGATTCCTCTCCACTGAGTCCTGGCTCCTGTGTAGGAGCTTTGCTTCCCTGTCTGGCCAAGCTTCTGTCCTGCCATTGAACAGTGAGTGTTGATTTTGCCCTTGACTTACCTGCTTCTTGGAACATGTAGTCTCTTAGCCTTCTGTAGTAAACAAAACTGTTGAACCATCAGGACAGTAAAACTTAGCGCCTCAGAGTTCTGCGGGCAGAATCATTTTGCAGTTTCTCTTAGATCTTGTCCCTTTAAATTTGCAAATCTTCTGAGCTTCAGATTACCAGAAAAATTACTCTTTATTCCTTTCTAGAGACTTGGTACAGCGTGTTATTGCTTATTTAATCTTTATCTTGTATTTCCTCATGATTCAGCCCTCTTCAACTTACAGTTGGATTCTTGTTGTACCAGATTGTAAATGCTGGTTAAAAACAACAGTTCAGGGCACCACCCTTGGCAGGAGGGGGGCACTTGGCTTGGGCAAGGTCACTGTGTGCCCTAGATGGCTGCCAGTTAGGGCTGTGGCCTGATGGCACTTGGCTTTGATGGTGCGTAGTCTGCGATATAAAATGACGTCAGTGAGATCCTTTAGTGGCCACTGTGTTAACTTAATCACCAGAGAATATGCAGTGTGATCAAAATGCGCAGTGAATATTTAAGTTTTTAAAAAATAATTATGTTAAAGACACATTGCCATGAATCCCCTCAAAAATCTTCCCTCTTGCTTAAAATGTACTTAATCCATCACTTTTGTCATTTTCTGAAACAGTTCTAGAAGTCCTCTTTTGTGTGTATGTGATCAAAAATATAGTGAATGCTGCTTCTGAGAGTCATCCAACTGAAAGGCAGGCTTGTAAGAAACATTACGGTGTGTCCCCATCCACCATATTCATTAGATCTGGCAGTGTGCAGTTTCTGACTCTTCCCTAAAGTCAGAATGGCCATGAAAGGTAGACATCTTGAACTGAATCGGGACATGGAAGCAGCCGTAATAACACAAATGAAGACACTAATGAAAGGTCTTCCAGAACTGCTTCAGAGAGTGGCAAGTAGGATGGAATAAGTGCCACATAAGGGAGGTGGTATTTTGAGGGAGATCTTACTCTTTTACTATAATAAGTTTTTTAAGATTAAGTCTTCACTATGATTTTGATCATACCACATAGTTTAGGTAGCAGAAGACTGGCACTAACAGTGACCTGTTGGTAGGAAAGTGCTGTTCTGTACCAGCTCTTTTCTGATTTAGTGCTTGTCTGCATCTCAGTATTGACACCAGTTATGTCAGCTCCTAGTTTGCTTAGAGGGGCTGTGTGTTCACTACAGGTGTGTGCCATCACGCTCACCTGATTATATTTTTCCTTTTTTTTGTTTGCCGTGCTGGGGGTTGAACTTCAGGCCTCATAAACATTGCAGTGGGCTGCACCCCCAACTCAGATTGCATTTTCTGAAACCCTAAACCCAGAGTTAAGTGCAGAAGTCTTCAACCTATCAACCATATGTGGTATTTCTGTTTTTTTCTTTTTCGTTTATAGTACTGTGAATTGAATCCAGGGCTTCACATGTGCTAGGCAAGTGCTCCACCACTAAGCTTCATGCCCAGCCCTGGCTTTGCATTTCTGCAGGATCTTATGTGTGTGAACTCTTTACCCACAGTGAATGCAGTCATTATGTACTGAACACATGTACTAATAAAAAAACTGGAAAAACCAACTGAATTATAAACCAAAAAAAGACTATAAAGCAAAAAATAAATAAAGGAGTCTAAGCCACAAAGATCACGTGTGTCCTGCAAAGCTTAGCATATTTACTGTGGCTCTTCACAGAAGTTTCGTCAGTCAGTAATCTATTTTCACCCTGCCTTGAAAGTGGATTTTTTTAAGAGACTCACATCACTAACATTTTCCTCTTCTGTGTTCTTTTCAGATACTTGACTTCCATGCTGATTTTTTATAACTTTTTTTCTCCTCCCCACAGAAATACAGCCCCTCAGACCCTGCCTTTGCCTATGCCCAGCTGACTCATGAGGAACTGATCCAGCTGGTCCTCAAACAGAAGGAGACCATCAGCAAAAAGGAGTTTCAGGTTCGTGAGCTGGAGGACTACATTGACAACCTGCTTGTCAGGGTCATGGAAGAGACCCCCAATATCCTCCGCGTCCCAGCTCAGGTTGGCAAAAAAGCAGGCAAAATGTGAAGAAGACACTGGGCTGGCTGTGGGACTGTTTCCACCTTCTCTTGAGGTCAAGGACTTGTGCCTGACATCCGGCCAACGGGCTCCAAATCACCATCTCTCCTGCATCTTATCTGTCAGGAGTTAATTCTACCAGTCGAAGCCAGGTTAATTATTACAATGAATCTTCTACTGTACATTCCCAGGGTTTTATTTTTAAATGCCACTGTGCCTTTAACTAGGTTGTAAATATTTTATGCTTGCCGGAGACATGGTCATAAGATCTGCTCCTGAGCCAGAGATTCAGATGGCACCGGATATACTAATGTATCTGAACTCGGGGGCTGCCTTTCTTTGGTACGGGACTTTTCAAGCAGGTATCCTCCAGTCATTACAGCATAGGGTAATGGACCGTGTGGGTGGTGCTGTGATACACAAGCTTCTCTGACCTTTGAGCGTCCCAGGCGTTTTGACTGCTGCAGCTGCTAAATTTTTATACCATCTAAACTTACAAGGCTTTTCAGACCTGGTTCTTCTGTCTTTATTTTTTGACTAGTGCAAAGTCATTTAGGGAAAGTCTCTGATTGTGCCTCTTAGAGCCTAAACAAACTTAGTCTTCTTGTCAGCATTAAAATGTGCTCTCTCTAGACCCGCAGAGCTATTCTGAAGGTGCACGAAATAGACTGTGGGTTAGAGAGTCACTTCACTTAGCTGAGGGAAACTTGTCAGAGTCCCCCTTGTGTGACAGCAGAGTCCCTGCTGGCTAGACCAGCCTCATCAGTACCTTGATAAGGGCCCAGGTGATCCAAGCTCTCACAGTGCTGGGAGGCCCAAGACAGCTGCAGTAGGACATCTGTGGCCTTTTCCACTTGTGCCTCGCCTTGGCATTTCTGGAAGGGGTGAAGCCCCTGGAAACGGAGAAAGCTGGACCGAGGGTGCAGCATGTGTGAAGCCCGAGGTTCCATCCCCAGCACTGCAAAACTAAACATACCAAAAAAAAAAAGCTTTAATTTTGTAGGCCAGGAGGAACCACGGACTTGGATCCTGAGGGGCCTCATGTAACTTGTCCTCCAAATACTGCCTGTCACTGCCCCAGAGAGAACCCTGGTTGTTTCTGGGGTGCTAGAGAAGTTGTGGTGAAGGCTTCAATGTAGTTAATAAAATTCAGGATCCATTAGACAACAGAAATGCCTCAGCTTTTCAGTGGCTGCTTCATGAACAAACTCAGGCATCTCCCCTGTTAGCAAATCGGGAAGAGCAGGGCTGGGGATGTGTGTGGCCCCATGGCAGAGCAGCCCCTACATGTGGGAGGCCTGGGCCCAGCCCCCAGTGCCACAACCCTGACAAATTGTGATGATGTCGAAGATGATACTTACTTTTGGATTGCTGTTGTTTAAAAACTAGATGATACATGTATTTTTTAAGCTGAAGTACCTGCCCTCTTCTTAACTAATAGCACCACTTCGTTTTCCAGGGAATTTCTCTGTTGGTCATCTCATACTGTTGCTCATTTCTTCCCTTGGTTGTGATAGAAGCTCATCACATCTTGGCCTCTCTCCGAGGAGGTGAGAGATCACAGGCCACGTGTGAGTGGGGGTTGAGATGGTGGCAGTTATTAATCCCAAACCTCTTCTCTGTGTGTCTTTGTTATTTTGAGGGTAAAAATAAAACGGTGGGCAGGAGAATCCTTTTCAGGATTGAGCTTGCCACAGCCTTGTCTGTATTGGAGCACTTTAATCTGAAGGTGATACTGTAACTTATCTGCTTAGCTCTTAAGGACCCACAGCTATTGTATTTAATATTCTCCTGAAGTAATAGGGACCACTATAAACTTCTCAGATGACTTGTATTTTTGTAGTGCTGTAAGACTTATTGACATGCCTCTAAAGAAAGCTGTGTATCCACTTGAACTCTGAAATGGACATGTATATATTTGTTCCGAATCCTATTTTTTACTTGATAGAAGTGTATTTGTACTGTGATAACCCAGGTGTGCACTGGGGCAGGTGTGCTGTGAGTGACTTCTCTTCCTTAGAAGAGCTGGTGTGGGGCTTCGGAGCACTGTTAACAAGGCTTTGGGAGCCTCCTGCTGCCAGGACCTTGAATGTGGAACTCTGTGGGCATTGGAGAGGGATGCCGAGGTGAAGAGTGACTTCCTGTGCTCTAAAATGTCCCTTAGGAACTCTAGAGAATGAAGGACAGTTTACTTCAGGGGTGTCTGCTTCTGCCACTACTGGAAAAAAAATCAGTTTATAGCATTCCTGTACCTCACAAAGCAGATAATCTGGAGGTCATTCCGTTGGGGATTGTCCTTGAAGACTGCGTTTGGGGGTGGACTTGTCTGAGCCTTTAGCCTGCTGTGAGCCTGAGTAGAGGGTGGTAAGGCAGAGCTCGAGAGCTTTTGTAGCTGACACCTGCCTGAGGATGTCATCCATCCACAGCTGGCCCTGCTGCAGATGTTAACCCAATTGATGGGCCAGCGAGGGACTCTGGGAGCAGCTCTTTTCTTGGCCTTGCTTGATTGCCTCCAGAGAGCAGTCAGGACTTGGGAGAGCCATCAGATTAAATACCAGTGAACTTCACCTGGAGGTCAGATTCAGGAAAAGTATCAGTCTTCAGCCTGTTTCCAATCATCTCATTCCTTAGGTTTTGCCAGATGTCCCTCCCTCCCCTTTATATGCTGTGTTAACCACACTGAGGTAGCAGAAGTGAGAAGCAAGCAGCTCTACCCTTTGCCATGCTCAAAAGCTGTGGACCCTGAGATGGCGCTGTGCGCATGTACCCGTATGAGCATGACATAGCAGTGTGCTTTCCAGTTGTGCCACCTGGGGGAATTCAGCAGCCCTGACACTTGACACACACTGTAATGAAGGCCAGAGGACTGTCATTGTTAAATTATTTGAGGTCTTCCTTCCTGAGTCCCTTCTCGCAGTTGACCTTTTTTCTTTTCTTTTTTGAGCTGTGGATCAAATGCAGGGCCTCTCTTCTGTGCTACACCTACCTCCCTGCCCTAGTCTTCTTCCTTTTTTAAGAAGTACTAAGTATCCCTCAAAGCTGAAAAATTCATTGCCTTAGGTGAGGAACTTAACATCTTGGTGTCCACACCAACCTCAGCTCTGGATTCTCCGTATCTACTATGTGAATTGCTAAATTGGCTTTTTCCTCCCTATAGTAATTACTATTTTCTGCTTGTGACTTGGGGAATTTTGAATTTCTTTGGTTTTGTTTTTAAGAAGTAACCTAACATTTTCTATAACACTAAATAAAACGGTACTGCCTTCCAAATGTGTGTGGGTGTGGAAAGTTTCTCTGTCTCCCTGGAAGGCCTGTCTTGGGGTGGTATGTGTGACCGGTTTCTCATCCCACGAGGCTGTTACTCTCAGCCTCCTGCTGCTGCCGCCTGCTCCAGAGGCCCTTTTCCCCTCAGAACACAGGACATCTTCATCCCTCTCTTGTGACATGGGTCTCATCGCATCCTGAGGGGCCATGGCACGTATCAGAAGACAGCATATGAGCATAAGCCTCCCCTTCTCCTTTGCAGCTGGTGCCATTGGCTGAGCCTTTGCATACAGATGCCTCCCTGATTTCCTGCCCGCTACACACAGGCTTCCCGGAGAATGTAGTCTGCACTTCGGGGCACAGGTTGAGTTGATACGGAGTTCAGAAACAGGTCCTGGGTCCAGGTAGCTGATCCACTTCTGGACAGAAGTTATCAGGGCAGGGCAGGGAGTCTTCTGTGCTCCTCTCTCCAAAAGGTCAAGCCTGTCTGGGGAGGGGAGCGTTGCTGGTGTCACAAGTGTGTGTGGCTCACGGACCTCACTCCAAAACTCTGGCCTCTGGAAATGGAGCAGACGCTGCTCCTCTTGTAGAAGTCACCTCATGGAGCACTCCTGGACTTAGTAGAGGACCTGGTTACTCCAACTGGACATTGATGGTGGAACCACCAAGTCAGGGGGTCCAAAAACAGCTCTTCTGTCTCTGCTGGAGGGTGGAACCCAGGGCTTCATGCATGATAGGGAAGCGCTATTCCACCGAGCTACACCCCCATCCCCAAACAGCTTCTATTAAAACTCAAAGCCCCCTAGGTTTGATTTGATAAAAAGGCTTCTAGAAAAAGAATCCCCAAGGAAGGAAATTTAATTTCCACAAATGACTTCAGCTCTGAGATTCATTCTCTTGCTTTCAGAGTTCTCTCAGCCTGGTTCCTGCCACCAGCCCAGCCCTTAGGGGAAGCCTGTTGTAGTTTCAGACCCCAATACAAGGAGGGACTCAAGGCACTCTTTTGAGTCCCTTAGCCCAGCTGCTAATAACAGAAACCTTTAGAAAAAAGATCAAGAAAATAAGGGAAATTATTATAGGGTATCTGGACAATGTAAAAAGGGGAATCTCAGAGCCAGCATTTTGAGCTGAAGTCAGTCAAGCCCCCTAAGGTCCAGTGGGTCAGCATGCACCAGTCCATCCTGGCCAGGTGGCCTCAAGTTCTTAGCTGATCTGAAGGCCCCTTACGGTCCATTCTGGAAAAGCAGTAAACACCGTTCCTCCCTCTCCACACTCCTGTTCACTTGCTTGGTCTGTAGATTTTTCTAAGTAAAATAACATGTTTGTTCTTCAACAAGAAAATGAAAAATTGTAATCTCCCTGTTATCAAGAATTAACCACTGTTACTTTGACTTGTCCTAGGACTTTTTCCCTCTCAAACAAATAGATGGACTGTAAACGGAAATAGATTACTGTCTGGATCTGAAATGTTCCCCAAAGGCCCATATGTTAAAGACCTGTGGCACTGTAAGAAGATGGTGCAACAACACAGGTTAAGAGTAGGAGGTGGGGCTTAGTGGGAAATTAAGTCACTGAGGTGTAACCTTGAAGCGGATGTTGGCTTCCTTGCCACCATGAGAGGAGCGGCTCTGCTCTACCACACACTGCGACCATGACATGCTGCCTTTCTACAGGCAGCGAACAATGGAACCAACAACCATGGACTGAAACCTCTGAAACCATGAACCAAAATAACTTTCTTCTTTTGAAGTTTGGTTATCCCAGGTATTTTCGAGTGATGGAACTCTAATAATCACAGTACATCTTGTTTTGAGCATACCTCCATGTTGATAAACGGTCTGCAAAGGTTTGTACTCTGCAACAGCCATTGATAGTGACTGTATCCCCACTGACAACCTCTTACCATACAAAGGGCTCAGGTAGCTGCAAAGATGAACTAGGTCCTTCTGGCTTGAGTCATAATGGCAGCTACCTCTGGGCCAGAGTGAGGACTTACTCAGTGAGGGCACTCTGCCCTCCTCTACCCACAGACAGTGGTTGTATACAGGGGGTTGTTCCTATCACCCACCAAGGCAAAGGGTCTGTGGCAGAGTCTGCCCTAGCCCTCAAGCCTACTATCTAAGCAAACTGATTCTGTGCCCAGCACTTCTGAGTTGTGTTTTGGGCCCCAGTCTTTCCTGCTAGGGCAGCACAAACTTTCTGACTCAAAACTGGCTCTTGGTCAGTGGGGTCATTGTCTCTGAAGGCCAAATACCTCTTGAGGGTGAGTGTCCTCTTGACCTTTCAACTTTCCATTTATTTCACACAGGAACCTGTGCCCTAAGCCCTGGAAAGAATTCTCTTGGTGACACAGACGTAGCTCTCACAGAGTTGAGGAAAGGCTGCTTCTGTCTTTGCAAATCAAATGCTCGCTTGAGGCTAAACCTTGACTGTAAAAGGAAGGCCAATGTCTTGAGATCCTAGGGTTCACTAAGCATGATATACTACTAATTCTTATCAGTTTAGAGAAATGTCTTCATTACACAGATAAAGAAACAGACTCAGAAAGACCTCAGAACTTTAGTTTGCTTGAAATATTATAGTGCCAAACCTGTTAGATGTCTGATAGTCTGAGTTCGTGTTCTCTAAAATCAAAGAATAAATTCTAGGGACAACAGAGGTTAAG